GGCTTTTGCATGCCGCTGATAAGAGGCTGCACCTGCACCGCCTCACAGACGCCCTCTACAGCAGACGCGTGATTTGCCGAGTGCTGCACTCGGCAAAGAGCTGTTGACATATCCCTTCACGGTAAAGGTTTTTTTGCCGAGTGCCGCATGTCGAGCACTCGGCAAAACCTTTGCCGAGTGCCGAAAAAGCACTCGGCAAAGATTTACACTCGGCAAAATAAAAATGCGAAAAAAACCTAAAAATAATAGCAAATTTTTTTTTGGGGGAGGCCGCCATCGGTCAGCGCCCGCCCATCTCCATCGAAGTCGCTGCATTTTTTATTCACGGCTAACGCGGCCGGCGGGACCTCTCCCTCGCATGTCTGCTGCTCTACCACTGCACTACACTGTCACTTGTGTCTAGATTCCGTTATCTATCCTCATATATTATACTAAACCGAGAGTAAATTACTTGTTTGAGGCCCTAAACAAATTCAAATCAAAAAGTGGTCAACTACAAAGTTTCATAACTTTTCGAGATCTACAATTTTCATTTAGGAAGTTTTTTTCATCTGAGGTCGTTTGAAAAATTCGAATTTCAAATTTGAGAGATTCAAACGTAGTTTTGCATGATAAGATGATTTCAAAACAAAAAGTTGTCAACTACATAGTTTCATAACTTTTGGAGATCTACAATTTTCATTTAGGAAGTTTTTCCATCCGAGGTCTTTTGAAAAATTCAAAATTTAAAATTTTCAAATTCAAACGGCGTTTTTGCATGACAAGATGATTTCAAATCAAAATGTTGCCAACTACAAAATTTCATAACTTCTCAAGATCTACAAAGTTTATTTTGGTCATTTGTTTATTCGATATAGTGGTAGTAATATTGTTCACAAATCTTATATATCTCTCTTCTACTTTCATGAAACTAATGAGAGATGTAGATTTTATGAAAAACGTTATTGTCGCTTTGTTAAATGAAGAAATGACCAAAATAAACTTTGTAGATCTTGAGAAGTTATACAACTTTGTAGTTGAAAAGTTTTTCATTTGAATTCATTTAGGGCCTCAAAAATTGCTTCGAAAAACTGATTTGCTGAGGAAAAAAAATGCACACGACAAAATGCCTCTTTGCCGAGTGCCAAAACAAAGCACTCGACAAAATACATCTTTTTGCGAGTGCGAAAAAAACTTTTCGGCAAAGACGATTTTGTGATGTGCGGGCAAATACACTCTCGGCAAAATACATTTTTGCCGAGTGCCAGAAAAAAGGCACTTGACAAAGACGCATTTTGCCGTGTTTTTTTTTTACCGAGTGTATTTTATTTGGCACTTGATAAAAACCATATTTACCGAGTGTCCGATAAAATACACTCGGCAAAGCCTTCGACACTCGGCAAAGGGCCGGTTTCCGGTAGTGGCCGTGTTGAAGGTAGGTGAAGATGCTTGATGCTTCCAGGTTTTGCTGACGAGGCTGAAGTAGTAATAACTACAAAGTTGAAGACCTTTTAGTGTGAATTTATTATTGTCACACAGCTGCCCTTTTTCATACCATGGGCATGTTCGCCTTAGCTAATTTTCAACGAACGAACAGTATTTTTCTCTCATGATAAATTAACATAAGCATCAGTATAAACAATTGTTTAATTTGTCTCGTGGATGAATAAAGTACACATGTTGGCTAGTGACTTGTTTAATTTGTTTTCTTTCTATAATATAAAAAAATAGTGTTTAATTTTGTTGATAACCCAGGATCGGAATATGTTATTGCAATTGTTTTCAAGCTTAAGAATACCAATGGTTTTAAGGAATATATTTCTAGTTTCTGTAATGTAGGAATTGTAAAGAAACAATGAAGAATCGATTTTTCTTATTAAATTCATTTATGCTACGTTCTAAACATGACTAGACCATGCGGCAAAAAAGTGAAAAACTTCACTCCTACTCATCGTTGTCTTTTATTTAGATAAAGTTTGGCCGATTTGGTCCTTAACTATTATAGAGAGCTAGAATGACCGGAGGAACTAGTGACCTCCAGATGATGAAGGGACTAGAGTGTTCACGTAAAGATGAGGCTGGGAACGCCTGGGACCTTGGCACCGGAGGTTAGTTGCAGAGAATAATGGAAGCGGCAAAAAGTCTCCGTGTTCCTTTTTTCACAACTGAAGCAACAAACGAATGAAAGCTAGGTGTGGGATCGTGTGAAGATGAATGGGCTAGCTGCTTCTAGAGTCTAGACAACAGTCAGGGTTACTTTGCATAATTGCAGCAGTTTTTCTTAGACCAAGTGTTGTTTATTCAGGTTTATTAAACGATGGTTTAGGAACTAACTAATCTACCACTGTCGGTGCACGTCATTGGCACATTCGTTGGGGTAGCCGCGCGGCAGAATGTGTTGACTCGCGAGTCATGTATCACCTCTATTATTTCACATGGATCGATCTGATCGAGCATTTGGATAATACAATGATGGGTACCCATGTTTCTTTATGGAAAAAGAAAATGATATGGCCAATTCCTAACAGATTGATAGGGATGAAAACGGATCGGATATGGACGGATATAACTGATATTACATTTGTTTTCATATTTCTGTCCGGATTCGGATTCGAATACGTATAGTGTCAACCATATCGGATATGATACAATTGGATATTGACATCATAAATATGTGATATGAGTATTCGGATACGGATACGATATCGAATGTTGAATATCCAGACTCGAATACGGACGGATCAAAACCCCTTTAAACGGATTTGGTCTCGAATACGGTCGGAAAATATCCGTACCATTTTTATTTCTATGTATTGACAGATATGGTATTTTTAGTCACTTGTGAACTAGCTAGTGTCGTTTCAGATTGCATCTGCTCTAGTGACTGATGATGACCAGGACGAGCAAGCCACATTCTGTTCACATGACCCGGCCCTCCAACTCCAACGACGGGGATCACATCACATGGCAGGATGCCAGGTGCTCCGTAGGTCGGATTGTTTAACGTAGGTACCCACGTGTGCACTTGCTTGCGTACCCAAGAGGCCAAGAGACCCCTGTGTCCTGTGTGTTTAATTTGACTAGCTCGAACATACTCACTCTATCCTAAATTATAAGTTATTCTAAAAATTTTAGAAAGTCTAATCATCTCAAATTTGATCAAAGTTATAGAAAAAATTACAAAGACTCATGACATTAAATAGATATATTATGAAAATATAATTAATGAAGAACATAATGATACTTAGTTGGTATCATAAATGTTATTATCTTATCATATAAATTTGATCAAACTTGAGAGGCTTTGACTCTTCAAGATTTCTAGAATGACTTATAATTTGGGATGAAGAGTGTAGAAAGCAACGCGTGATATGCAAACATATTTTTAAACAGTAACAAAAAGCGAATAAACAGTACGATACACAACGATTATGAACTAACACCGAACAACCTCAAACAACAAACTGCACAGTACACCACATGTGGCTGATAGCGCAGTGAACAGTATGCACAGTGTTAGATGCTCTGGGAGTCCAGCGATTTATTGTCTGTTGAGGGAGTAATATTATTGGCTTATTGCTGGCGGTGCCGAAGCTGCCGTTGCTCATGAGCTCCACTTTTGAGATAGGCGATCGACCTTATAATCTATTGCAACTTATGTTGAAAATAAAGCAAATCGATTTGCAACATCATTTAATCCAAAAAAATAAACACACATATCGTAACAAAATGTTCGCACTGTTCTGCTCAATCGACATGAGTAGCTATTCATTGTATCCATTCTTGTTCATTTAAAAGGTTTTCGCTTTTATTTCCTTACTGAAAAATGAAGAGATGGGTAATTAAAAGAAGAAGAAGAAGAGGGCTGACCGTGTTGGGCCACTCAAAGCCCAAAGGCCAAGCAGCCCAACCAGCCAGCACGTTATCCAAGGATATCAGGCATCGCGGCGGTGTCAGGAAAAGCCTTTGGGTAAGGATCAAATCAAAACCCACAACGTGTGATACCTCTCAAGATTAATACGTGAATGTATTGCATTGAGCCTCTCAGGCTGTCAGGCAGTATATATAGAGAGAGTACTGAGACTTGAGACAGACACCTCTTCAGATACGGACTATAATAACGAATTATAATACTAACTATCAATATACTCCTGCAAAAATATAAACAGAACATGTCTTCTGAAAAGAGCTTAATTAAAAGTCACAGGTCGTCAGGTCTCAACTTGCTCACATCACCAATGCATGATCATTTAATGCAAGAATCTAAAGATTTCCATCCAACTTGTACTCACCCTACATCCCCATGCTTGGTATAACCTAGACTTCATGAAAGGTTTGTTCAAGCTGTCTTCAATGCCATTCCATTTTATGAAAGTCCTCCAAATTTTGCGTATGTTTGTTTACTATCATTTCCTTCGGCTATCTTACTTTCCTTTTACAGACAATCGAAGAATAATTGGTAGTCTAGTCTATTTTTTTGCAGTTGGACATAAAGAAGTGAGATGACAAGCATACTTTCTAAACTGCATACCAAATCCACCCTCTTGACGGAGCACCATTGCCATCATTTGTGGGTTGCTTGCGCCTAGCGAGGCTTCACATCCACAGGGGTGCTCATATGGATGTTGGATATTTATGTGAGCAGACTAATTTAAATTTGAGCATGTTTGATATACTTGTTTTGGGCTTTTCTGCTGTGCTGTAAGATGAAACGAGTTTCTGGACAAGGGTACATTGAAATCATAACAATTTCAGAAAAGACATCGATTCGATCAATTCAAGGTTTTCATCGTATCACAAGCTCTTGATTCCACTATGTAAATCAATGAAAAATGTTCATGGATACGATGAGAAATAGTGAATATGAACCTACACACTGCTATACACTACGGAGTAGTACACTACCTAGTATTGAGAAGAAACATCTGTAGCTACACTCTGAACATCACCAATCAATGCCTCAATGAATCGAATGCCAAATGGCTGCATGATTAACCCCAAGCAGTGACGAGCAATCTAGTTCAAGCACCTTCTTCAGTTTTCTTCTTTATTTTGAGGGCAGCGCTGACGACGTTTCCCCTTGTAATCATCCCAACCTTCAGGAATGGAAATTGGATTGTGTTTCAACACAAAAAGGTATTGTTGTTAAGGGTATTGAGCTATAGCAAATGAACATAAATTGCAAGGAACGAAGGATCCACTCACTAGTTTCCCCATGCTATCAACTACAGGTAATCTCCGGTATTTGGTTTCAAGTAGCAACCTTGTAGCAGCATCAAGATTAGTATTTGTACGCACTGCTAAAGGTGAAGAAGTCATTACATCACCAATGACCTTCCCATTAGTTTTGCTTAATAGTCTCTGTATCTCGTGGAATGTCTGTAGAGCAGTAAGTATAAGTCTATCACGAAGAGACGAACAATAATTCATTCATGAAAACAGTTAAAGCTAATTAGATAAATAATCTGACTGTATAAACAATGGAGCAGGTTATCCTCATTTTAACAGCTTCGAAGGTATAGTGAGTATTCCTGAAGTACAAAAATGTGGTTCAAACTGTACTGCAGAACACAGTAACTAAAAATGTGAAGGTCTGATGTAGTTAAAACATTTTGTTATACTGAGGACCTGTTTTATCAACATATAAATTGCTTAAAGAGACCTCCCCAGCAAACCATCTCCATAGGTGGCACTAAAAAGGTCAGGAAAATACAGCTGATGTAGAAAAGATTATATCTTGAGATAGTATTAACTAGCCAGCATGAATGATTCAATGTATACTCCAGGTTATAGAAAAGATAAACAATACCTTCCATGTACTATCCACATCAGGAAACAAGTTTGTATTTGTATCGGCCAATCCATTTCCTGAATCATGAGATAAATATCACATGACAGTGAATACTATGAGATACTATATATGCATACAACAATTAAATTGCAGGCTAGAAGAAAAGTAATGGAAAAGATACGATGTTCTGTACGAGTTGAAGAAGTGATGTACAAATATACTGCAAATGGCAAGTAAAAGGCGGACAGTTGTTGTATAATTGATAGCATGAATAACACTTGTTATGTGCGGTTATGGACAACATACGTTGTAATATGAGTTGTTTGTAAGCAACAGAATCCAAGTTTCAGGAAGAAATAAATACCTGACATCGAATCCAAAGCTAATAGATCATAATCTGATACAACCCCAACCTGCAGGAGAAAAATACTGAAAATATAATAGACATCATAGATAAACTTTGGTGATAATAACCAAGCTTGTAGATGTAATAGTCGAAGCTAACAGAGCACTAGTCAGCTAAGTTTGCATGCTTCAATAACAAAAGAGTAAGCACTAAAAGAATACAGGGCAGTTGGAGAAAAAATTTACAATAAACTAACCAACTTCCCATCATCGTCAACCACAGGTAAGCCAGAGATCTTGTGCTGCACCAGCAGCTCCAGGGCTGCGCGCACGCAAAGAAACAGCAGAAATTAGCAACTTGGGAAAATGCGAAGCAAGTGAACACATGCGTCATGCTATAAGGATAGGTACCTTGGTCAACCGGTGTAGTAGGTTGGACAACATGGAGATTGTCCCTTCTTGTCATGAAGTCACCAACCGTGTACACTCCATTGCTATGCTGCACAAGGAGGGAGCATGCAGGTATCGTCAACAGTAAATTAATGGCTAAAACGATAGATTTGGTACCACTGAGAAAAGTTTCCTCGAGAGATTAGTAGTAGATATGTAAGTGCTTGCTGAAGGAGGAATTTCAATGACACGAATGTGAATTGCACAAGAATGAAAATGTGCCTCTTGAGTTTCAAATTTGGGATATGGAACATCGTCCTGCTAATATTGTAAAAAGAAGTATACATATGCGGTGATGTTAGACGCTAGTGATTATTGGGCTATATAGTAAGCAGTAATATTTGGACAATCTATAAGAAGCTAAGAAGGGACTTGAACAATGGAATGTTGGAAGAATTTTGGTAGGAAAGGAAGGAAGCTCTTGGTATATATACCAACAATAAGTAAACAATCCAATCCAACGGAGACAGGAAAAAAAATGAAGGTAAACAGAAAGTGATAGCCGTCTGTCACCTGGGGCGATGCCTCCCTCTAAAATATCTTTGTAAAAGAGTGGTGTTAGACTTAGACGTTAGTGGTTGTAGGGCATCACATAATCTGCCGAGAATTTATAATGAGGTTATTTCAGCAACAACTACTGTTAATTCAGTCTTATAACAGCGCACGTCAAGCCATAATACGAATTGTTGATTCCAAAATAAGAAGGGAAACAGGGGTTATTTCAGCAACAGCCTGTTTTCTGTTCAATTTTGAAAGGCCAGCCATAATACGAATTGATTCCAAAAATAACATCCGTTCTTCTTAACCAACGAATTCAAGGGCGTCGTATAGTAATTAAAAAGCAAACCAACATCGGAGAGGAAACAATAAGAAGAAAGAATCATACGAAACTGAAAGGGGGAAAACAATCGATAGCCGTCCTCACCCCGGAGATGCCTCCCGCGGCTGGCGCGGCAGCTGCGGCGGAGCGCGCGCGGACGGACCTGCACGACGACGACGCCCGGCGGCCTGGGACAGTCTGGCGCTGGAACGCGGACGTGGAAGGGCGGGAGCGGGAGCGGGACCGAGCGGCGGCGAGGGTGGCGTCCGCGGATACCAGCAGCCTAGTGTCCATGGCGCCGCCGCGCGCGCGTGCGCCGAGGGGATTGGGATTGGGCGAGGAGACAACGAGAGGGGCTGGAATGGATGGCCGATGATTGCAGACTAATGATGAGAAGCCTCCGATTGATTGGCTATAAAAGCTTACCTATAAGCCTAACTAGGTGGGGAAGCAAAAGCAATCGTGTTGGCAAGGGATGGGGATGGAGCAAAAGCAAAAGCCTACGGTTGATTTTTGGTAGGAAATTTGGGAGTAAAAGGAGAGATCTTTCTGACTAAAAAGGTAGAACACGATAGAGACAGAGTAGACATAGGCTATTCCATTCTTGCTTCTTCGGCCGTTCGGCGCACTGAGATTTTATCCCCTGCTATTTTCGGAAGACAGAATCTTTATGGCAGTATATTCAGTTTAGCCTTCTCTTAATGTTACAGCCTTTACAGCAGGGTAAAACAGTTACACGACTAGCCCTGTTCGTTTCGCTGAAATTCGATTTATGCTGATATTTGCGTTAATTTATTATGAGTGAAAAATACTATTTGTTCGCTGAGAAGTACTGAAGTAGTGCTCCAGGAACGGTTCATAACCTGTAACTTTTGTTTCAGTTTACCCGCTTCTTGAACAGGAAAACGCCTTTCTTTAGTCATCCATTACCAGCCCGGCCACCGTTTTCCGATCAACGTTCGACTTCCCCACGACGCACGTGCCCGGCCGCCCGCCGACTGTAGACTTGTATGCTTGTGCTGGCCGTCTAGCAATGATGAAGTGCTTGCTCTACAGAAAGAAAAGGAGAAGTTTTAACATAACTTTTGAAACGGTTGCACCTGTTTTAGATTTTTTTCCCTAAAATCATGCTCTCTCTTATATATTGAAATTATTTAAATATTATGTAGAATCCATTTTATATTTATTTGCTAGACGATGCTCTCATTATCTATTTATGATTAGTCTGTTTCACTAGTACAGAAAAGAATTTTAGAGGCGGTTAAAATAGGTTTTCAGAGACGGTTTGAAAAATTGCTACAATGCTGCTGATTGTAAAAATCAGTGATTTTTAGAGGCAGTTTTAAAACCGCCTCTAAAAATCGATTTTCAGGCGGTACTCTTAAGACAACCGTAACTAAAAATCAGTTTTTAGGTGGTTCTCTTAAGATAACCACAATTAAAAATTAATTTTCAGAGGCGGTTGATTTAAGTCAACTATCCTTAAAAATATATATTTTAGTATTTTTAAAAATCATTTAGAGTCTAATAAAAATAAAAAAAATTATTTTTAATATAGCCCGAAGGGTTGAGACCAGGCACAACTCAATAATTTTAAGTATTTTTTAAATCATTTAGAGTCTAATAAAAATAATAAAAACATTTTTAATATGGCCCAAAGGGGTGAGGACCGGCCACAGCTCAATAATTTTCATCAGTATTTTTTAAAAATCATTTAGAGTCTAATAACAATAAGAAAAAAATATTTTTATTCTTCACTTATATTTTGAATAGTGCAAACACTGGGATTCGAACTCGCAACCTCTTCCTTGCGCGTTTTATCCCCTACCACCATACCACATAATGACTTGTGACTAGTCCACGATGTTGTCTATTTGTACTAATATGTACGAATCTTATAATCAATATTTTATCTCATAAATAATCTTAAATAAGAAAACTTTCAACTACAAAGTTTTAGATCTCGTCGAGCACTGCAACTTTCATATAGGACATTTCTCCACCCAAGGTCAATTAAAAAATTCAAAATTTTGAAATTCCAAATCTGAGACTTAATTTATATATTTCGAACCCTAAATGATGTCAAACAAATATTTTATCAACTACAAAGTTTTAGATCTCGTCGATCTCTACAATTTTGATATAAATTTTGTCTTCATCCGACATTATTTAAAAAAGAAAAGAATTTATTTGTGCTGCAGCTATTTTTAAGGACAACTAACTTAGTCATCCGCCTCTGAAAATCGATTTTAAGAGAACTGCCTCTGAAAATCACTCATTTTTAGAGACGGTTGACATAAGAAATCGTTCTTAAAAATAACATTTTCAGAGACGGTTTTCTTAACGGAACCACCCCTAAAAATGAATACATTTTTAGAGGCAGATTTCTTAATGAAACCGCCCCTAAAAATGGATCTTCAGCGATGGTCACGGAGCTACAGTGCTCTGCGACGATGTTAGAGGCGGCGTGCTAGTTGAACCGCCTCTGATAGAAAAGAGAGACGTCCCTAAAAATCTTTTTTCTGTACTAGTGTTTTGACCAACCGAAGTACATATAGAAGGCTAATAAGTGACAAGCATGGCTAGCGTCCGGGCGCCTGCGTAGCTTGCATCCATCCGCCTTGCTTCGACTCGCACATGTACCCCGCCCTCGATGCTGCGCCCGCCGCTCCTCGTGTCCAGATAGATAGCTGCGCAGCTGAAAGGTCGTAATATGACTAGAGGAGGATGAATAACCTATTTAAAAATTCTACAAAGCACTGGAGCAAGTGATTAGTACAACAAATGGCTTAATATAAATTTGTTCTAACTCTACAAGGATTGCAAGCCACCTATCCCAATAATTCTAATTGCTAAGATCATTAGGCACACAACAAGCTAGGTCACTACTCACTAAGCTAGTGTGCTCTTAAAGACTAACTAAAGAGACACACTAACAAACTAACAAGCTCTAAAAGACTAACTACACTAAAGAGCTTGATAATTAGTTTGCAAGGAATATAAAAGAGTGAGTAGGGTGATTATACCGTTGTATCGAGGAATAAACCAATCAAAATATGAAGACAACTAATCATCGGGAGAAATCCAATCACAAGAATGACACACGATTTTTCTCCTGAGGTTCACGTGCTTGCCGGCACTCTCGTCCCCATTGTGTCGACCAACACTTGGTGGTTCGACGGCTAAGAGGTGTTGCACGAACCTCGTCCAACAAATAGACACCGCAAGAACCTACCCACAAGTGAGGTAACTCAATAACACGAGCAATCCACTAGAGTTACCTTTTGGCTCTCTGCCGGGAAAGGTACAAGACCCCTCACAATCACCGGAGCCAGCCACGAACAATCACCAACATGTGCCGAGGCTCCTTCGCTGCTCCAAGCCATCTAGGTGTGTCGGCCCCTCAATTTGAGAGTCCACAGTGCATCCGTATTTGTGTCAGGATCACGCACAAATATAAACTAATCACAAGAATGGTACACAGATATATAATAAAAGGTTCCAAACTTTATTGATATCTAAAATAAAGTCTATAACAGTGTCCCAAGGGGCTTAGTCATAGGCTACATAGCTAGCGAAAGGCTACAGCCATGAAACGACATTATTGGTGGTCTCTAAAGCGGGATTATAATACAACAAAATGGCATCCTATTCCATAGGCAACTTGAGCACGGACAAAACCCTAGCCTCGATGTCACATTCCTACGATCATATCTCCTTACGGGAAACCTAATCCTCGTGGTATGCTTCATCTTCAAAGTCATAGTCTTCTTCTGTGCCGAGGTTTGTGAGTCAACTACGGGTGAATACATACGTACTCAGCAAGTCCCAACCATACGGTGGAAATAGAAGTGTAGTGGTGGTTATAATTATGGGTTGGATCCTATCAGAGTATTACCATTCTCACTAGTACCTGAGTTAACATCAATTCCATTACCAGTTTCATTACACATAAAAGTAAAGCTAATCATAGTATCCCATCCTAGCATTTACCCATTCCAAGGACGTGGCTATTCGAATAGATTTAATAAAGTATGCAGAGGTGTACAAATTTCCCCACACGATAGGTGCAACCTCATCCATGATCAGTGGACAAAATAGACCTACTGAGATCCCGTACCCGCTTGGAAGCTAACCAAGATTTCTATATAATCTCTACCACGGTTTCTTAGGGGTTGGAGACACAAAATCGAGAAGATACCAAATCCCCCCAAAACGTGATGATACCAAATCATCACAAAAGAAAACATGGCTCAAACATGGCCAAGAAAATAGTGGCTCGAACGCGACCTAAAAACCTAAAGCTTAACATGGAAGATCACATAGCATCCACGCCAACCAGGCACGAAAGAAAATATATCCCCCGTATCAGCTCCTGATATTCTAGTGCCTACACCGGCCTCCTAGTAGACACTATACTTCTATCTAACAGGGTGTGGGATCAAGCCTACCCATATAGACATGTAGCTATATGAAAATATCTCACTAGGTGAGAGGGACTATGAGCCGGTCCTTATGTGACAGAGGCGAGTATCTCCCACAGGAACCATATCCAAGCATTCTTGTCATGATAAACTACCTCCATAGTTTACCACTACTCGTCCCATGTCGGGGTTTAGTTCAGGTTTAGCAAGTTTTAAGTTCCATTATTATCCCTAAATCTAGTCATGGTGTGGAGCTCATAAAATAACAAGATAACCCTTTATCTTAATTATATCGCATTAACCGAGCTCATTTTCTAGGGTAATAATCTCATAGTCATGTTTTAGCATTATGGTGGTTTAAAGCAAGATGGTAGGAAGGGGAGCTAGGACTTGCCTTCGTCGTTGTCACCTTTCGGCATGTCTACGTAACTCGGGTCTTCGTCCTCCTGACGATTATCGTCGTCTGTTGGATGTATCGGTCCAATAGACTACCGTTATCCGCAAAAGAAAAGGCACAAGAAAACAAAGAACTATGTGGTGGCACTAGGTGCATATGGTAGGGTTTGATTTTAGATAAACTTTAGAAATGGTTTCATGCGAAACGGAGTTATGGTTTAAAAGTTATGAATTTTAGAAGTTTATTCTATAGCTAATTAAATAGGTGGAATTTTATATGCATTTTCTAGTGCATGAAAATGGGTGCAAACAACATGGTTAATTTCCTTAATACATCTAGTTTATTTACAAATTTTCTAGGAATTTTTCTAAGTTAGGAAAATGCATTTCTAACCCTCTGTGTACACTAACCGTGTGTACCCAGCATTTTCTAAAACATACCCCGCGTTGTGTGTTTGTGATGTGTGTGTCTGT